CTGTCAGTGGCAGGGGGCTTCTTCCTGCTTTCGTTTTCGCATCCCTGTATTGTGCCTACATATGCAAATTAACCCTATCTTGTTGGCAGTTAACTGCCAATCTTAGTTGGCAGTTAATTTGCATATAGCCCTGATTAGCCAATGAAAAGGTATCGTCGTACGCCAATTACCATTTTTCTCCTTTATTAGTGTAGATGTTCTATATAATCTCATTTTAACATACTGACATCATTTCATTATATAAAAATTAAATTTCCTCTTTATACCAACATATTATTAGCTTATTTTACAGACTAAGAAATTGAATTTCAGAGAGGTTAAGAAATTGTCTCCCTTGTACACGGCTGGAAAACAATGGAGTCAAGTTTTAAATCTATGTCGTCCATCTCCAGCATCCTAGAATGTATGTTTTCAAAATCTTAGGCAGCCTAACATACCTATAAAGTTAAGCAGCTTTGATTCTGTTCATGTTCATCAGATTGATACTCTTTCCTATTGTAAGCCATTTCACAACGTTTTATAAAAAAAAAAAAAAAAACCTTCTATACCTAGAAAGTGCAAGCACACAACCCAGTGAAGTAGGTATTATTGGCCCCATAAAACCAGAAAAGAAAATAGAAGCTCCAAGAAATCAAATAACTTGCCCATTGCCACAGCTCATCAGTGAGGACTGGGAGCCGGATCCAGGCAGTCTGATGTCCCTTCCCTTGCTAAATGAGATTAAGTCCAAATCTAGATGTGACTGCAAGATTAAGGTTTTCCGCCTTTGTGGAAATGGAGGCTTGAGAGCTAAATGGAATTCATTGATACAAAAATGAGGGAAGTGACATGTCTGATTCCTGAGTTATGCCTGCAAAATTCAAATCTACTCTGCTAGTTAACAGAATCTAGTTGCCTGCCTATTAGCCAGTTTTCCTCTTGATAGGGCCCCGGGGACTTGGTGTCAACATAAAAAGGCTTTTTTGAGTGACATTCAGTTTGTGAGAAGATGAGTAGCAGGGAAAATGGTATAGGATCATAAATCATAAGACACCTATATTCCCCTTTAGGAGGCAGGATCGGGACCAGAGCCAGTCTACTAATGAAGAGGAACTCTGAAAACCCCTATCTTGAGGGATAAAAATTCAACTTAGTGGCCTTTGGCCCTGCCTTAGTGAAGAACATTTACTTGACAGACAGATGGCTATACACAGCATTTACATCATCAGTCACTATAAATTGAATCTGCCTCAGTAGATAAAGGTGTTATCTAGCAAATGGCCCCAAATGACCTTTTTATAATTGTTAAAATGGGATGAAAAGGACATAATCAATAAATAGCTTCTCTGTTCCCTGTGCTACTCCTTTCTCTCCCCCCTTCACTGCAGGAAATATTCCTTCAGAGAAAAGTTGTTTCCTATTTCTCTCCTCCCTGGCACTTTTTAAAGAAGACTTCAAAGGAGGTTGTGGACTGGCTCTTTAATGGACACTGCTTTTATTTCCTCTACCTGGTGTAAGGCACTGCTTAATGAATAGCAATAACTTTCTAAAATCACTGTTTGTCTAAAATTGCAACCCAGGAGTTGAATTTCATTAATCACTCTGACATATTTTGGGAAGAAATTACATAGAGGATCTAAATTTTGGATCATTTAAAATAGAACATATTACATGTCAGACCCTCCCCCCAAATAACAAAAACCATCATTGATTAGACTAGTATAGTATGACCTACAACAATAAATCTAACAAGATGCTCTTAAAATTGCTGTAGGAAGGATGCATTCATATGCAAATTTGTATAAAATGTAATACTAACCCATGTTGAGCCCACTACAATGTCTATGCTAGTGCCATGAAATATTTCTGGCAAGTTTATAAGAACATGTTGCAGGATCCTTTTTGCCTGATCCCAGAGGGGAAGAGAAAGCCGAGTCAGTGATTGGAACGCTGCCCCAAATCAGAAAAAGCTCTACTACATATGGAAAATACTCAATTAGGGGAGGGGCAGTGGAAAGAGACGAAGCTTTAATAAATAGTTAAAGCTGTCAGTTAACTATTAATGACTTATAAGTATTTATTCAGACCATCTTAACATAACCAACATAAAAGCAAAAACTGAACCATAAAACCAAGAAGTCTAATGTTCTCTGCTAAAAATCCTGATTACTGAAACAATTCTTAAGACCAATCCATAATTTCATATGGCATGCCCAAAACATGAATGATAGCTCTCTGCTTTATGGATTTCTGAGTCCTCAGTATAAATTAGGTAATCAAAGCTGGTTAATAATATAATAATGTATGTCAATTCTAATTGGAAAAAAAAGATAGTTTATTGTTTCTATTGCAAACCAGTTAATTTTGCTTCACTTTAAAATATTCAATCTATCTTTGGAAAGCCCAAAATATAGCTAGAAAATACTTATGCTCTAAAAACGTGAACTTTATGACAGAAACATTGAGGTTCATAAGTTAATTAATATGAGATCAGAAAGGAAAAATGGGATTAAAATAAATTGCTCTAGAAAGGTATCTGTCTTTGTCAATGGAGACTACATTACTGAGGGGTTTCAAAGAAAAACTGCTGTTGCAATGTCGGCAAGTTTTATGTCCAATGCAGTTTCTTAAAAGCCATCTTGCTTTTCTTGACAGGAAAGGGAGTGTTTGTTTTGTCTGCCTTCAAATTCTCATAAAAGCCACTCTGGAATCCTACACCCAGAACCTGTGCAGTGGGTAAGCTTGGCCTCCGCTGTCTGAGAGAGCTGCTTACGCAGGAGGCCTTTCCCAGAGAATGGGCTGTTTCTAGGAGGTGAACTCTACCGAGGGAAAAGAAAGAAAACCTTACCTGGGTAGTCATTCTTGTCTATGTCTGAGTCTCCTCTTAAAGTGTAGCCAAAGCCAGAAGGGATAGCCTGTGATGCCCACACTCCTTGCAAAATTTGGGAAGCCTTGGTGTTCAAGCCATGTTTGTTCCCGTTGTAAATGAACACTTTGCCTCTTTGATCCTGGCCTGCAAAGGGCGCACCGATGGCAACATCTAGAGAGACACATGAGCATATTTTTAAATAAAGAAGAATGTTTTGAAATAGAATTAAGTGCAATCAAAGAGCAGTGCCATACGGTCTAAAGGGCTTATTGTTTCCCATGAAATTTGTTGTAGCGAAGCAAGAGTAAGTTATTTGTTGTCTTTTCTCTATTCAACCTAAAAGGTACAATACAATAAAACCTCAATATAATGGACTAATTCAAGCAAGGGGGTGTTCATTAAACCCAAAAGTCCATCTATATACAGTGGGGCCTTGTCTTACAAGTTTAATTCATTCTGTGACGGAGCTCATAACTCAAATTACTCGTATGTCAAATCAAAAAGTGAACGAGTGAGACACGTGATGCTGGGCTGCTGTTGTGCCATTCACTGTGACGTTCGCTGCACCAACTAGCAGTGGGGTATCTGAAGCTGGCTCATAACCCGAATTTTAGCTCGCAACTCCAAGCAAAAAATTGGCCAAGAGATGGCTCATATCTAGAAAAACTCATTAGTCGGGACACTCATAAGTCAAGGCCCCACTGTATATAAAAGCCTAAGTGACCGGCCAATGCACAATGACCACCAGGGGGCAGATGCTCAACAAAGGAGCGGCAGAGCGACAGCAACTTTGCAGAGTGCCCTCTCACACTCTGGTACCCCTTGGGGGATGTCCGACTGCCGGTTTCAGCCCCATCCCCGCAGGCCAGGCTGAGGGACCCCACTCACTCCGCAGATGCCCTTCGAGCCCCAGTGCTGCCCCAGGTGCAGCCGGTTGAGGAGGGACGACTGGAGGTTGGCTCCAGGGCGTATCCAGGCCATCTCACCCAGTCCCGCCCTGCCAGTCACCTTCTAATTAATTTCCTTTCAATGTGCATGAATCCATGCACTGGGCCTCTAGTTATATAATAAAGATTTTCCTAACGTGTATGTTAAAAAATTGACAAACAGTTACTTTACCTGCTTTTACTTACATAGACACGTTTATGTAATTAAAATTAAGTATGTATGAAAAGTTTAATTTCACAGAGAAGTTTTCTATATGTATTACAGTAATTTTAAATTTCTACTGAATAGATCTAGTAAATGCTTGTATGCACCAGTCACCAGGAGTAAACAAATGCACACAGCTGGGGCGTGGCTTAGCACAACTCCAAACATCTGCCAGCACACTTTCAAACTGCTGCAGAAATTCATGTGACAACAGAACCAATCACCACTCTTGCTGTGGTGTAATCACATGCTAATCACTCACTGAACACTCTTTATGAGCAGTGACACTTGGATTTAAGTCTGTAGACTATAGCTGTAAATATGTAATATTTATTTATATCATGAAATTACTATAGTGTTTTTTCAACATATGGCCTATTCGATAAAATTTGTTTAAAATAACAGTGAATTAATAACAAAAGTAACCTGTTTACTTAATTATAAGCAAATCATAGAGGCATTTTAAAATTAATAGGATGTTAATTTTCACATATAATATATGGACCAGAAATTTGCCCATTAAATCTGAAGTCTGTTAAATTGAAGTCCGAAAAATCGAGGGTTTACTGTACCAGATACTTAATACCAATACCTGCGAAAAGTACTAAGGAATACTGAGCTGATGCAATAGCTGAGGCTATTTTGTTAGAGAAAATTCCTATTCATTCCACAAACTTCAATCAAGAAACCCACTATATGTTGGTTATTAACTTAAAGTCCCAAAAAGTATGCAAGATTTTGTGTGAGCATGCATGTTTTTCTGAGGACAGGGTACTTACAAGACATTTATGAATTCCTAACTTAACCACAATCCTAAGCTAATAATTTAACCCTACTTTATTACAAACATTGAAGCTGCCTTTCAGCTGAACTTACAGACCAAACACCTGCAATAATGTAAACATGGAAAGTTTTTAATAAAAAAAAATTTAATTCAGCATCACCTATACATAAGCCATCTAGGTTAATCAGAAGGCCATATACTTACTAACATACGAACATATACTTATTTGTTTTGGACTCGGTACATATCAAAGATTTTCTAGTTCTCTTCGAGTCACTAAATCCAAATATCAATTTTTTAACTTTATTTTTATTGTTGACACTATCACGTATGTCCCCAATTTCCCCCTTTTGCCCACCTCCACCCAGCAGCCACCCCTTTTCCCTCTGGCCATCACCTCACTGTCATCTGTGTCTATAGATTATGCATATATGTTCTTTGGCTAATCTCTTTAAAAATTATCCTGCCTTTATTTAGACCTGTTATATGACATACAAAATCAACATGAGAAAATGTCCATGTAACACCTATATTAATCAAAACATATAAATTTTAAGTTGCCTTGAGATTTTTGATAGCGTATTAAACATCCACTGCATCATACACACCACTGTCAATGCTTCAAAATGTCCATGCCACAGTAACATTGAATTATGACACATCAACAATCTCCATACATTGGTGTAAATTACCATGGTATCCATCTTGATTCAGGTCTCCTAAGTGGGCCACCGCACTGCCAAACCTCCCGAAAACCTCCGTGCCTGCGAGCACCTGAGGGTCTTCAAAGGTGAGAGCGCTCACTTGCATATACAGGTAAACTTGACCCACTTCCCTGGGGTTACTCTCAAATTCACGTTCCATAAAGAGAGGGGCCCCAATCAGTATGTCATCCATCCTGTAGTGGACAAAGAGAGAGGTCAGCACTCTGGCAGAGATGAGATTCTTTTTGGTATATTTTAAATCAACTGGATTAGTACATTTCCATTGGTATTTTTCCTTTAGCAAGGGACATTTTACAATCATCACCTTTCATTGATTTGTTATGTCTATGCAGTAGAATGCTGCAAGAAAATAAGGTTATTAAATGATCCCACTGAACTCTTTAATGATGTTAAAGTGTTTGCTTTAAGAAAACCACAGATATTTCACCTTTTCCACTTTGAGTGCATTTCCAGAAACTATAGATATACAACTAAAACATATCAGAAGGACCTAATTAGGTTTATCTAAAAGTGGATTACAGGTTTCCAGAATTTATATGCCTATACACTTAAATTATGAAGTTTTCTTGACAGTAATAAGGCTTAAAAAGAAATTTCTCCTCCTATTTCCTATTGTTACCTTCATTTAAATAAAACACAGACCAGAGAGGGTGGTAATACTGGCTAGAAAGATAAAATTTCATCCCAAAAGAGAATTTACAATTATTTTTTTAAGTGAAGATATAACAAGAAACTAATAGGTAATTCTCAAGGGTGAAAAAAATTCAAGAAACAGACACCTAACCAAATTATTTAGAGATAAAGACATAACCACCAAGAATAAAAAACAAAAATGGTTAAAGGTATTTCCTTCACAGAGTCAGATAGCAAACGAAAGAATAAAACAGAGCCTTTTGCCTTAACCAGTTTGGCTCAGTGGATAGAGATCAGCCCACAGACTGAAGGGTTTCGGGTTCAATTCCCATCAAGGGCACATACCTCAGTTTCAGGCTGGATCCCTGGCCCTAGTCTGGGTGCGTGCCAGAAGGCAACCAATAGATGTGTCTCTCTCACATCAATGTTTCTCTCTGTGTGTCTCTCCCCATCCCTTGCACTTTCTCTAAAAATCAATGAAAAAATGTTCTCAGGTGAGAATAAACAACAAAAATAAACAGAGTCTTCTAAGCTATTTAGGGTTTTAAAACCATAAACATGTATTATTTTTATTTAAATATTTTAAAGAAAAGTCACATCAACCAAAATTTGTAATTTGATCTGTACTAATGACCTCCACTGTAATTTGTCTGCAGACACCCCATCCTAGGAAGTGCAATAATGTGAAAATGACTTCAGGCAGAAATACAAATCTGCATTTGACTTTTATGTCTATGTAGATTAGATGATGTGTAGAAGTTTGTCAAATTAACTACTAAAATATTAGCATTGACCTAAAAGGCAGGGTTGAGGTGGGAATAGTTACTGAGAGCATGACACCTCTTTTATAGCAATCTGCAAGACTATCAACATCACCCTGACTCACCCCTCTCTCCAACTTCTTGCCTTCTGTGTGGTGTTCATCCACTGTCTGTTTCTCCATATGATTCAACAGGCAGCCTGTGTACTGACTGTGTTTAAGATACTGTGATAAGTGATTTAACGAATACAATGACTGTTAGATCAACCCTGTTCCTAATTAACTTACAAGTGAGGTCAAACTGCTACTCATATAACTATAAACAAGGCATAGTAAGAAAAGTATGAGTGTTCAGCTAGTGTTGCTCAGTGGTTGAACATCGATCCATACCCCAAGAGGTCACTGGTTCGATTACTGGTCAGGACACATACCCGGGTTGTGGGCTCAATCCCCAGTATGGGGCACACAGGAGGCCGCCAATCAATGATTCTCTCTCATTATTGATATTTCTAATTCTCCCTCTTCCTTCATCTCTGTAATCAATACAGATATTTAAAAAAAGAAAAAAGTATAAGTGATTCAAACTAAATGCTGGGGGTTCCAGATGGGAGATAGCATTGAACCTGAGTGGGATTCTGACAGGTAGATCTACAGGTAGGCTTTCCAGGTGATGGTGCCATGAACCAAGGCAAGTGTCCCTAAGTGAAGTTAGGAAACACTGAATGGTCCAAGAAAGTATATAGGCATGCTAGAAGAATGCCTATATATTATTTTATATAAAATCAATATTATATATAATACTGGAGGCCTGATGCATGAAAATTCGTGCAAGAGTAGGCCTTCCTTCTCCTGGCTGCTGGCACCAGCTTCCCTCCAGCACCCAGGACCTGGGCTGCTGGCACCGCTTCCCTCTGGCACCTGAGACCCAGGCTGCTTCCCTCCTCTGGCCACCACAGGCACCCGGGACTGGGGCTGGCTTCCCTCTGGCCCCAGCTTCAGCAGAGCTCCCTTCTGTAGCGCTTCGCTTCCATGTTGTCTTCAGTCTTTGCTCCCAGCTGGTATATGCAAATTAACCGCCATCTCTGTTGGCAGTTAATTTGCATATCACGCTGATTAGCCAATGGGAGGCGTACCCTTTTTGTCTTTTATTAGATAGGATAAGCAATAAGAAAGCAACCTATTAAAAGTTGGGCAAAAGATCTGAATAGACACCTCATCAAAGACAATATACAGATGGCAAATAAGCATTTGAAAAGATGCTCAATATCACATATCACTAGAGAACTGGAAATTAAAACAATAATACCACTACACACCTATTAGACTGGCCAAAATCCCAAACACTGAAAACACCAAATGCTGACATGGCTGTGGAGTAACAGAAACTCTCATTCATTACTGGTGGGAATACAAAATGGTACAGCCAGCCACTTTGGAAGACCATTTGGCAGTTTCTGACAAAATAAAACACTCATACCACATGATCTAGCAAACACACTTCTTAACATTTACCAAAATGAGTTGAAAACTTATGCCTACACAGAAACCTGTGCATGGATGTTAATAGTAGTTTTATTCATAATTGTGAAAACTTGGAAGCACCCAAAGGATTTTTCAATAGGTCAATGGATAAACAAATAGCGGTGCTGACAACAGCAAATGCTGGTGAGGATGTGGAGCAATGGGAACTCACATTCATTGCTAGATGAAATGCAAAATGGTACAGTCACTTTGGAAGACATTCTGAAAGTTTCTTACCAAGCTAAACATAGGTTTACCATGTGATCCCACAATCATGTTCTTATATAGTTACCTAAAGAAATTGAAAATTTATGTCCACACAAAAACCTACATTTGCTCCAAATTGGAGGCAGTCAAGATATCTTTCAAGAGCTGAATGGATAAGCAGACACTGGTACATAATACAATGGAATAATCTTTAGCAATAAAAGAAAATGAGCTATCAAACCACAAAACAATGTGCAGGAACTTTAAATGTGTATTGCTAAGTGAAAGAAGTCAGTCTGTAAAGGCTACTACTGTGTGATTCCAATTCTATGACATTTTGGAAAAGGCAAAACTATAGAGACAGTGAAAAGATCAGTAGTTGGCAGGGATGGGTGAGCAGAAGGATGAATAGGTGAAGCACAGGACATGTTTAGGATAATGAAACTATTCTATATGATACTATATGTGGATATATGATATTAGGCATTTGGTAAAACCCATAGAATGTACAACACAAAGTGAACCCTAATGTACACTATGACTTCAGTTAATAGTGTATCAATATTGGTCCAACATTTATAATAAATGTACAATAGCAATGCATGATGTTAATAGGAAAAGTGAGTGTGGAGGGGAGAGGTAGTTAGTGTGAATTATCAGTATTTCCTGCTCAATTTTTCTGTAAACTCAAATGTGCTCTAAAAAATAGTTTATTAATTGAACAAAAATGATAATTGCTAAAGTTAAGCACAGATAACTTGAGAATAGCATGAGTTTTTTAAATTAAATCTTTATTGTTGAAAATGTTACATATTCCTCTTTTTTCCACCATTGACCCCTTCTAGGCAGCCCAGACCCTCCACCCCAGGCCTTTACCACCCTACTGGGTTATACATATATGCATACAAGTTCTTTGGTTGATCACTCCCCACCCTCCTCCATCTTCCCTCTGAGATTCCACAGTCTGTTCTCTGGTTCTTTTTTGTTCATCAGTTTATTTGTTACTAGATTCCACATATGAGTGAGATCATGTGATACTTGCCTTTTTCTGACTTATTTCACTCCAACACTTATTTCGCTCTCCAGGTCCCCCATGCTATCTCAAAGGGTAAGAGATCCTTCTTTTGTACTGCTGTATTCCATGGTATAAAGGTACCACAACTTTTTTACCCACTCATCTACTGATGGGCACTTGGGCTGTTTCCAGATCTTAGATATTGTAAATTGTGCTGCTATGAATATAGGGATACATACATTCTTTCTGACTGGTGTTTTTGGTTTCTTAGGATACATTCCTAGAAATGGGATTCCTGGGTCAAATGGCAGTTCCATACTTAATTTTTTGAGGAAATCCCATACTGTTTTTTATAATGGCTTCACACCCTTGACTGGAATCGAACCTGGGACCCTTCAGTCTGCAGGCCAATGCTCTATCCACTGGGCTTCCTTTTCTTTTTGTTAATGGTTTCTATTGCTGTGTGAAAGCTTTTGATTTTTATGTAGTCCCATTTTTTTATTTTCTCTTTAGTTTCCTTTGCCCCAAGAGATGTATCCATGAACATATTGCCATTAGAGATGTCTGAGATTTTGCTGCATGTGGTTTCTTCTAGAATTTTTATGGTTTCATGAATTATATTTAAGTCTTTTATACATTTTGAGTTTATTCTTGTGTATGGTGTAAGTTGGTGGTCTAGTTTTGCATGTATCCATCCAATTTTCCCAACATCATTTATTGGACTGTCTTGACTCTATTGTATATTCTTGCCTCTTCTGTCAAATATTAATTTAGTATAATGGCATGGGTCGATCTCTGGAAAATCTGTTTTGTTCAATTGTCCTATATGCCAGTACCAGGCTGTTTTGATTACAGTGGTTTTGTAGTATAACTTGATATCCGGTATTGTGATCCCTCCAACTGTGTTTTTCTTTCTCAAGATTGTTGCAGCTATTTGGGGTCTTTTTTGGTTCCATATATATTTTTCGAGTATTTGTTCTAGATCTGTGAAGTATGTTGTTGGTGTTTTAATAGGGATTTCACTGATCTGTGAAATA